ACCAAATCCAACTCGAATTTATATTTCAATGGCTCTGGATGTTGTGCATCTTCGATATCCTGTTGTTTCCTGTAGTAATAGTCATTATTATATTAACAACAATAATAAATAATAATAACAATAATAATAATAATAAACAATGTCAAATAATAATAATAATAAATAACAATAACCCACCTGCACGCCTCATTCAGCTCCAACCCGACCCACTCCGCCTCCTCGAGCGGTATCTTGAACCTCGAGTACTTATTCCGAATATACGAATGCCTCTCCGCATCATCCGCAAAATACTCCTCCTTGGCTAATGCTATCAATAGTTCGCGTTTTAGCTTATTACCCAGTCTCAAATTATTATTATTATTATTATTATTATTATTATTACAGCTACAAATAATAACAATAAATGAAAATAAAAAACAACAACAATAATAATAATAAATAATAATCAATAACAATAATAATAATAATGCTAATAAAATAATGATGTAATAATAAAATTAATCACAACAAACAAATAATAACAAACAACCCGGATGCCAGATCAATCTCGGGTGTTTCCAGCAGATACAAATCGATGCCGAAGTGTTTATCAATCAATCGACACGTCCTCTCGGTGACCGTTATTTTCATTAAGCGATCCAATATCTCCGAGTAAAATACACCCTGTTTCAAGTAAGGGAACCATAAGTGTGGTACCCAGTGACGGGGTAAAACCTGAATTTGTATTTCAGGTTGGTATCATTACTATTGTCATTTCATAACAACAGTAATAATAATAATAATAATAATAATAATAATAATAATAATAATAATAATAATAATAATANACAAAAACAAATAATAGCGCATAATAATAAAAATAGCACCCACCTTCTTCTTCGTGTACGGTCTCGACTCAACATAACCCTTCAGCACACTCTCACCACCCCACAGACCCTCGTCCGCCTCTGGAGGATGTATACCAACAATAGGAATGTTCTGAGTTTGTATGGCATTCATTTTTATACGATAATAAACACGTTTTAAATAAATAATACATAATAAATAATAACAACAATACATAATAAATAATAACAACAAATATATAATATAATAAAAATAACAAATATATAATATAATAAAAATAACAACCCACCAGATTCTCCCGTATTTCTAGACGTTTCGTGTCCCATGAAAATCTGCTCTGTGGAGGTCTATAATGCACTGGGGCCGCTTCCCTTAGAATATTCTGCAACTGTTAAGGGGACAGGTCAGTGATGGGAGCGTGTTAGCAATTTATCACAGGAATCATTATAGTATTGTTATAATAAAAACAATCATATAATAATAATAACAAATAATAATTAAAAAAATAAAAAGCGATGATATCCAACGGCAACAACCATCACACACAATCAATACTTAATATAATAATACACAAACAGTACATAAAATATCATAAATGCAACAATAATAATTACGATAATAACATTAATAAATCAATAACAAATAAGTAATCTAAAATTCACGCAAATGAATGAATATAATGATAATTCTCGATAAATCGATAAGATAACAGCCATAAACACACAACCATCTCACCTTCCAATACCTCCTCTGGTAATGCAACGGCAGTCGGTGTACGATCGAATCCTTATTGTCCCAGA